AACCTGGGTTGGAACAATTAACGCTTTTTTATATAAACGGCTTCGCGGTTTACAAAGCGAAAACCGCTCCAACCCAAGTTATACAGTATATTTTCGGTAGCTATTAAATTCATTCCTGAAATGTAAAGATATTATGTATAATGTAATGAAATATGTCTTTTAAAATCTCGTCTCGTTCTCATAAAATAAATTACATGTACATTGCTGATACCAAAGAAATCTATACTGAATATAAAGCAAATTCCACAATAGCATAATGAATGTCACGACAAATGATAACACATTGACAAAATAACATTTTTGGAGAAATACATTTATTTATCAGAAAATAGAAGAAAGATCAGAAGAGCATATGTTTAGGTTAAACATTTGTAAAATAGTAGTTTTTTTAATAAAAAAAAAAATATAGATGCCTCTTCAGTTTCATTTCTGTTTATATTTCTATGATGTAGTTGGATGGTATACCATCGTTTCAAAATAATTTTTTCAAAATCATCAAGTTGGATATGCTAAAAGGTATGTAATGAAAATCTGAAATCTATAAAAATTTGTTTTACATGTATGTATTTATGTATGTTATATTTTAAATAACCTAATTGATATGAAGATAATTGCAATTAAACTAAATGTGCCTTGTTTGATGTTGTCCACTGCTATTGAGGTAAATTTTTCCCCCAACCTCTATTAATTTGGCATACATTATTTGCTAATAGCAAATAATGTATACCAAAATTTGAAGTCTTAATTTTAACATTTTCAGGTAAAGAAAATTTAACAACCGGAAAATGGAACTTGAAAAAATACCAAGAGAAATATTCTCCGGTAAAACATAGACCACCAACAGGTACAGATATAAATGCAAATCATCAGAAGATTCTTTCAATTCAGCAGCCAAGAAAAGGTTTATGGAGCACAAATTCTCTGGAAAATATTCATGAAACGAAAGAGAGGGATTTCATGCGGTCTCTTGATCGACCACATTCCATGGAAATTAACTCCAGTTTCGGGAAAAATTTCAAATTAGATGAAATTAATATCAAGCAACAGTGTATCGATTGTAGAGAGAGTACTTTAAATTTAGAAGATATCGTAAAAGTAATTCGACAGGCTGTTCAGGACAACAATAGAAGGGAAATAGAAGACGCGTTGTCATTCGTGTCTGAAGGGAACATGCGACATATTTGCAAGGAATTTTGCACAGAGAAACCAGAAAAATGTTTGGCTAGCAGTGCCATTATAAATAAATTGAAAAGCAAAATTTTAAGAAACATCGAAAACAAAGATGATATTGTGCGTATATGGGTGGGTCGGCAAGACGGAACGCCCATTGGAATTGATACAGTAGTAATTGTGACAAGATCTTCAAAACCATACGACCTAGGTGATAAAATCTGGGGGCTTAATATGCTTGTACGGTGTGCCGATTTATGTACCGATGAAGCATCAAGCTTGTTGATTCATGACGCAAATGATTCCGTCGGATCGTTAAGCGTTAAAATTACAGATTTGGATTTAAGTTCCCTCTTTAGCAAACACAGCAATATTACCTTAATAAATACATCTAATGTGTGCTCTGTTGGCTACAAAAATAATGTCAGAATAGAAAGGATTCCTTCGATTGTTATCCATTGTCACGTAAAAGGAGTGATACCAATTGGAGAAGACGCCTTTCCAAAGAGAATAAATGGACATCGAGTAGACGTCCGTGAAGCTGTTTGTGCCTTTGCAGTGAATCCAGCTCAACTTAGTGAGAGGATTGGAACCGAAGGTACCACGAGGACTGGCACACTAGGTGGTTTTGTAACGTTGCAAAATCCAGAGCGACAGGCCTTTTTGACATGTGCTCATGTTGTTTTACCAGTTGATGTGTTGAAAAAAGGAGAAAGCTTCAAGTATGCAAGGAGACGAGAGATACATGTTGTAGATGAAAAAGGGCTACCGTTCGGAAACGTCCACAAAGCTGAATTTAAACACGGAGGAGCAAACGAAGTAAGCATAGATGCCGCTTTAGTTGAAATCACTGATCAATATCGATATCCGTGTAATGGAAAGTTTGCACCAGTGTTCACTTCCGACCAGATTATCGAAGCAGGCAAGTACTAAATATCAAAAATCGAAATAATGAAATTAAGTTATATTACATCAATTTTTCAAATGTTTCTCTGTATATCCGAGATATATATCTATATATCTATATATCTATCTATCTATCTATCTATCTATCAATCACAAATTCGCGTTCTCGCAAAAATAAAATAAAAATAAATTTGAATCCCCGGTCGTGTGGTTTGGTATGAATTTTTTCCAACTCGTTGTGTGTTCTCTTAATTTCCAAACCTGGGGGATAGCACAACTCATAGGATGAAAATTATAATCCGACCACAAACCACGGGACATCCTATATAAATATATATGTATATACAGTGTATCATATTTAATGCAAACATTTTATTTCATAGGGTTTTCTGAAAACAACATGCCATGTTTCGATAATGGAGAAATGGAACAGATCAGAAACTCAAATTTTCGAAAACAAGTATTAAAAATGGGAGCCAAAAGTGGATTAACAATTGGTTCTTTGAAAATCGGAAGAAGTTGTGCAAGGATACATGATTACGACGTAGACGTAGATGACGATTTCTCTACAACACTTTATAAACAAATGGAAGTTATTCCTCAGATTGATCTATCCCAAACGTCTGATTCAAGGGAACCATTTCTAGATTACGGAGATTCTGGGTCTTTCGTTTATTTCATATCACAAGAACATCCTGCAGTTCTCAAGTGTATTGGGTTAGCCGTTGCTAAAACGTCTCATGGAACTTGTTTGATGACACCCATAGACAGAGTGTTTGACGCACTTGATCTCCCATATAATTGCTTGTCAAAATTCACAAAGAAAGAGACTCAGGGAGAGACGATTTCTGATATGTCATCTAAACTTGATAACATTTTGAAGAAAATGGCAACAAAAGACGACATCCAAAATATAGAAGGAGAAATTAGCATCATCAAGAAGAGATTGTCCGCTACAGAGTCTAATGTGAAGATACTTTTAGAGAGAAATATGTAGGAAACAAATCGCCTATAAAAGTGAAGCTTCAAATTGTTCTTAAATAATTATGTGAATCAATTTGGTTGCTAGTCGTAAATAATCTCTTGATTGTGAAATTCATTTCAAATTCATTGTGACTGGACAGATACATGTACAGTGTATATAACATGTAGTTAATATTATCAGGAGCACAATATTGCCACTCAGTAGGATGGGCCTCAGGCTTAATCAAATGATTTATTGTAATGACAATGACACTTTGTAATAAAGTTTTATTTCATTTTATTCAATTGTATAAGAGGAGTTGCGGATAAGTGCCCCAAAACGTAACGGACGTACAGACAGACACCCCAAATCACTTTACAAGGTCCCCGCTTTTCAAGCGGGGGATATAATAAGGGAGCTGAATCCTTTGAAATAATATCATCAACTGCTTGATCTTGCCTTACAGCAAAGAGCAAATTCCATTACTCAATGAAATCTGCCAGCACAATAGAGTATAGATATGTGACATACAGCTGAGATTCAGCTTTGTCACTTATCCATATTTCCTATCCATATTCACAAGAATGGGAGGTTCTTATCTGTAATTAGATGATTTTTATTAAGAAAAAACATGTTGAAATCTCAATTAGAAATATTTTTCGCCTAAATGGCAGCACCTCCTATTTTATGGTCATTATCTCCCTCTCTATATCCAAAGTCCCTGTTGCTTAATTACTGATAAAAATTCTGTGTGGCTCATGAAGAAGTCCCTGGCAAGTGCTCACAATTATTTATTGCATCTTTCATGCGAAGGCTGTCGCAGATCAAATCAGAAGCTTCAATAACTTTGGGAACATTTCACATGTGGTGGTGTTCATCTTTCATTTAAAAAACCGTTTCATTGTATAGTTAAAATTTTACATGCATTTACTAAACAATTCTGATAGGCCAAAAATCTCAAAATTGTTAAAAATATATTAAAAAGCCTTTGATCAGTTGATGTATCATTAAACACTCATCTTGACTATGACCCCATTATCCTAGAATACACCTATTTTAACTGCTGAAGAAGTGGATCATTCGATCCTCTTCATTCATGCAAAATTGAATTGTCTCTATAGTACATAAATGGTCGATATCGTCTGTAAAATAACGGAGAGGCAGATACTGATTGCAGCCTGGGTTGTCTAGTCAAGAAAATTCAGTAACACTAGTAACTCTTCTAGTGAAGAAGACGATGTAGAGCTGATGGAAGATTTACAGAAAATGATCCCATGCTAGAAGATTTGGCCGAATGTTTCGGTTCATCAAAAAATATGCAGAGGACCAATTTATGTCAAAAAAATTTGCCTAAGTTGGTAATGAAAGAGTTATTAACTGCAACATTGAACAGTGACGAAAAAAAAAAGAAGTAAAGGAAATTTGAATGAATTTCAAATGAGAACAATGAAATCTCTTTAAAAAATGAAGACATCTCAGAGATAAAAAAAATTAATCTTTTGAACTAAAAATTAAATTTTTCGTTTGAGAAATCCTTTCTGATGCTTTTATTTATTTACATGAGCAGTTGATACTAAAAGGGGAAAAATAAATTAAAAGTGTTGCAAATTTTCATATTCAAATAACAATTAACTACCTGATGAAGTAGATATAATTTATACCAAAAGAAAAAAACTATGAATACACAGTCATCATTGATCAGTCGATCCTTCAAACCTCCTTCATTTTTTCCTTACTGGGACAAAAATGACAAGGCTTACACGAACACTTCAATATGTTAACAAAATTTTAAGTTTCTTGAAATCTTGCTCCTGCAGGGAGGAGGAGTGGTGTGCACTCTGGGTTGATGTAAGAGAGAGAGAGAGAGAGAGAGAGAGAGAGAGAGAGAGAGAGAGTCCTTTCTATTTGTGATAGCAAAGAATAAGTTCTCCCAAAATTCAGTGAAAAAAAAGAAAACTGCTTGAAAATTAAACGTTTAATAAACACATGTATATCAATGACGATTAAGTTGTAACAATGGTTTACAATAAGGATATAAATTCTGCTGCACTGCAATGAAGTTAAAAAGCACATCAGAAAAATAAGTTGAGATTTATTCATAAGTGAGCTGTTCTGGTTTATACGGAGAGCAAGGAAAACATGGTTTCCTCAAATAAGTAACTGTTCTCATATAGCCAGTAAAGTTGATTCAGGTATATGCTAGTAAATTGATTTCATAGCATCCATCAACCTAGAATTATTAAAAAAATGAAGTCCATCATTGTACATTTATCATAATGACCTATTAAGTTTTTGTAACTTTTTTTAAAAAGAAAATTTTCATTAAATTTGTAAGACTCCAAAGTCCGACGGTCACGCCATAGTCGGATGGTCAGTGCCAAGCCCCAGTGGTTTGGTGTTGGTATGGACACCAAAGTCCGATGGCTAGTTTTCTATGAGACGCGAAGCGCTAAAATGCAATGGTGACCAAAGTCCAATGGTGCAGAGAATTGAAACAATCGACGTCTTTGACAACATTCCTACAACAATCTGTGCCATTTTCCAGAGTAAAAACGAATAATGACCCTCATAGAATTATGACCGAGGGTCAATTTTCGCTGTTGAAAAATGACTCGCTGTCATTATTCGACGGTCATTTTTCTACAGGTGTCATTATTCGTCTTTACACCAGCATTCAAAAATATTAATCCTCCCATACAATTTGACTGATTTTGCTCATTGCTTGCACCTACCTCATATATATTAGAATTAGTCCTCGCAAACCACTCTACTGATAAGGGTAGGTCTTTACACATTATTAGATTTGGGGTAAGTTTTCTCACACTATTCCACTAAATAGCTTATAGTTTTATTCTGGCACCCACCAAAGAGATATAGGGTACGTCCCTGAACACTATTTAACTCATTACGGTTAGTCTTTTTCCCAACCAAGATACGTATATGTAGGTCTGTTGTTACACACTTTGGAATAGGAATAGTTCCTCATCCTTCCGAGAGATTAAGATAAGCCTCGCACCCTCTCGAAAATTAGGGTTATAGTAGTACAATTATATTATTGCATATTCTAGTAAACCATTGTACTTTGGCAATCATATATTTAATATTCAATTTCATTTGTATTCATTTAAAACCGTCAGACATTGGTGTGGTGCAGCATCCCAAATTGACACAGTAGTACTTGGACATCATAAAGGTTAACTGTTTTGTTTTTTTTTTTTTGCACCATTGGACTTTGGCGTGTCAAACCATTGGGGTTTGGTGCAGACCATCAGACTTTGGTGTGAACTTTGGACTATGGAGTCCCATTGCACTTTGGAGTCCTACATACTGAAAACTTTTCTATTGTGTCTCTTTTAAGACACTGTACAATGTATTTATACACACGTATGAATGTAACACAAGTTTCTTGCATCAGGTACCCAGAAATATGGTACAATTACTGCTATCTATAAATACTTCAAAATACCTCGTATCTGCCTATGTCTGTCCTTGTTTGATTTACAGCCATTTCTTCTGATAAACCCCACAACTCTTGTAGACCTGAGGATATTGACTCCAAGTTAGGTATACCCTGAAAAAATTATCTTAGTTTTAATTTCAATGGTAAAATTTGAGTTTTTAAAAAAGAAACTTTTCTTCATTTAGAACTAAACATCATTCCAGTCTTAATTACGGAAATATTGCATGATTAAAATTATTGTAAATTTTAAATCCACATAGAACTGTAAGTTGAAAAGAAGGAGTATGTATTCACATATTTTAACTTTTCTAGATCATTGAAATCACAAGATTGAAAAAAGAACACAACATAGGAACCATGGGTTTTTTTCTCTGAAACATGAGACAAATTCATGTTCTGTTTTCTTCTGACCATAATTCTCAAAAGGTTAAAAAATTATGTTTAATTGTTATTATGCTTTAAAATTATTATAAGGTTAACAGAGACCTTTAGTGGTCTTTGGAGTAAAGATTGAGACAGTTTTTTTGGTTTCACGAAGGCATTTAGTTCTTCAAAGCTTATAGTATATATTTTTTGTTAAATAAAAAAATATGCAAAATTTTCACTTTGTTTTAATCATAATCAATTACTCAATTACTTTCAAATTACATTACATTGTATAACAATTTAAGACTTGTTATGAACTGAAAAGAAAAAAAATTAGCATTTATTTTCATCATATTTTCTCCTCATAAAATATATCCAAAACACTTACATTTTCAAAAATTGCATCAAGTATACTTATGATGAAGATATCATTTTGTATTTAAAGATTTTCTCTCCCTCTAACTACGAGGGCTGTTCGGAAATTATTGAGACAATGTGTACATATTTTTTTCTAATGAACGTCTTTCGGTAAAAATTTGCATATACGTTTGGCAAATACTAAGAATTAATAAAAGCAAAAAATATTTTATAAATATTTCATTTTTTCTTTTCAGTGGTATATTAATGTGTCAATAGTAGGGGTACCCGGCGCAGTCATGAAAATAGATGTTGAAAATGTGTAACACCAACGTTCAAACTCTCGGTGGACCCATAGTAAGAGCGAAAATAATTCATGTATAAAATTTTTCAATTTGATTTTGACTTCATTTTCTGCAAGTTTGTTAGAAATTCGATCAGAAATACGGAGATCATAAATAAATTTATGCGCGGCATAGAAATCTGAGAACGACGACAAAATGGATTTTGACATCAAGGCGGCGCAGCGAGCATACCCATAATTTTGTGTAGCGCTATGGAGAACTCTTTTCCAGACTAAACGACCTGCTAAAACAACAACAATAAAAAAACATGTCTAAGGGGTTTTTTTTTATTGGTATAAATTTTTTTCTTACAAAATATTCAACTAGAGTAAAAACAAAAGCTCCGGACGACCATCAGTTATTACGGACTAAATAACGTAGACCAGCGTTGCATTAATCGGTACTGCAAGATGCTAATTCAACCTGTATATGACACTTCATGTATTTTTACACTGGGGTAGCAACAGCACACATATTTTTTATTTTATTTTTTAAAGAATTGTTTAAGAAGAGAGACATTTGATTTTTGGAATGTTATATGTGATAACAGAGAAAGAAGAGTAAACGCTTCTCGATTGTTTCACATGGTAAAACATCTCCGGCTGACGTGACGTTAAAATGACGTAGCGATGCTGCTCCAGGTCGATAGACATATGCATGTTTATAATTTCACCGGTACTTGTCTAATTATCCTATAAATGAGAAATTTTGCACATTTCTTTTCTTCGTTCTTGATAAAATGTTGACGAATCTCTGGCCTTTATGGAGTAAAAGTAAATGTCTCAATAATTTCCGAACAGCCCTCGTAAGATATATATATATAGTTTTCTACCTACAGATCTACATCTTACCACATCTTCTATATCCTGGCTATCAGAATCATCAAAATAAATCTGAAAGCATTGGTCATTACGTAAAGCTCTTTTTATAAACTACGCCATCATAATTTGAACAAGAGTCCATCATTATATAAGCCCCTTTTATCTACAATTTTACTGGTTACATATAATTCCTGTAATACACTATGAGTAGCAAAGTGTGATGTTATGATCAATTGTGTCTAGTATTGTTTGCACCAAGGGTGATTTGAACCAGTATCACTTTTTGGGGAGGGTACTGAATGTACGGAAGCCTATTTAGGACCTATTTTTGAATTCGATATAACGAATTATCGAATTTTTTATAACAAATTTAATTTGTTTTAACAATTTCTTGGAATTCGTTATAACGAATTTAATCTGTTATAAAAAATTTGTTGATTTCGTTATAACGAATTCAAAAATTTATTATAACGAATTAAATTCGTTAATATGAATACTAAAATTTGTTATAGTGAATAAAATTCGTTAAAACAAAATCTTTAATTTGTCATAACGAATTACATGTAAATTTGTTATAACGAATTTGACAAAACGTTTTATCGAATCCATATATATTTTTCTATAGACCCTGATTGTTGAATTTGATTAAACGAATTTAATTTGTTATAACAAGATTAAGAATTTGATTAAAGGAATTTAACACATGTATATCATAATAAGTTTTTGAATTAGTTATAATGAATTTAACAATCTGTTAAATCAAATTTAATTTGTTATTACAAATTCAGAAATTTAAAAAAAAATTAAATTCATTATAACTATTTCGACAAATCATTATATCAAATTCATAATTATTTTTTTGATAGGTCCTAAATGTACGGAAGCCCATTTAGGACCTATCAAAAATATCTTTTAATTCAATATAATGAATTGTCGAATTTGTTATAACGAATTTAATTCGTTAAAACAATTTCTTTGAATTCGTTTTAACGAATTTAATCTGTGATAACAATTTTATTGAATTCATGATAACGAATTCAAAAATTTGTTATAACAAATTAAATTTGTTATAACAAATTCTAAAACTTGTTATAACGAATTAAATTCGTTAAAACGAATTCCTTAATTTGTTATAACGAATTAAATTCGTTAAAATGAATTCTACAAATCGTTATATCGAATTCATATATATTATTTTATAGGCCCCGATTGTTGAATTTGATTAAACGAATTAAATTCGTTATAACAAATTTTAGACTTTGTTTAAACGAATTTAATTTGTTATAACAAATTTTAGAATCCGTTTATACGAATTTAATTCGTTATAACAAATTTTAGAATTCGTTATAACAAATTCAGAAAATTTGTTATAACAGATTAAATTCGTTATAACGAATTCAGATAGATTGTTATAACGAATTAAATTCGTTATAACAAATTTGACAATTCGTTATATCAAATTCAGAAATATTTTTCGATAGGTCCTAAATGGGCTTCCGTATAAATGGGCTTCTTTAGTACCTATCAAAAAATATTTTTGAATTCGATATAACGAATTGTCGAATTTGTTATAACAAATTTAATTTGTTTTAACAATTTCTTTGAATTTGCTTTAACAAATTTAATCTGTTATAACAAATTCGTTGATTTTGTAATGATGAATTCAAAAATTTATAATAACGAATTAAATTCGTTAATATGAATACTAAAACTTGTTATAGTGAATAAAATTCGTTAAAACAAAATCTTTAATTTGTCATAACGGATTCATTTCGTTATAACGAATTTGACAAAACATTTTATCAAATTCATATATATTTTTCTATAGACCCTGATTGTTGAATTTGATTAAACGAATTTGAATGTAACATTGAAGTATTTTTTTTTTCATCTTGACAGTTTTCAAAATGTACACGTATGATACTGATTCATGGTTACCTTGTGTGCAAAAATCCCATGATTGTAACAAGGGATTCCACACAAATTGGAATTATACTTGATAAATAGAAAGAAAAGGGGATGGGGAGTGGGACATATTATTTCTTGTCTTTAGTAACATTAATAGATTCTGTACTTATTTTTAAAAATTTATCTGCACAACAAATCATGCATCTCAACAATATATATACATTCTATTATTCCATGTGATGAGAACTTGAGAGAAACTGGAAAAAAATTTTCAAAAAAAAAAAAAATAAATAAAAAAAAAATCTTTTTTCTTAAGTTTACTAAAACTTCTAAAATACTGCCAAAAAAGCAATTCATTTTATGTGTGAAATAAAACAGTTATTGAACTTTTAAAAACTTAATGAATTTTGATGACTGATATTTAATTATATTAAATAACAAACCACTTAAAACAATAAGCATGCATGAAATTAATACAGACAAAATGTATTTAGAAACTGAGTTGTTTGAAAGAAGGGGATATGATTCCAAAACATTTCTTCTCCATGAAAAATAGAAAATGGTGTTTGTGTAAGTAGCACTCTAGATTTATTATAAAAAATAGTAAAAAGTGAGAAAAAAATGGTGACTTTTCTCAAAATTACTCACTTTTTCCTTGGCTTTTGTTTGTAACTGTATCAAGAATGTGTTTTGTTAAGAATAAAAATAAACTTGATTCACATTTACTTAATGAAAAATAATTTTCACATATGCAAGTACAATGTTGTGACAAAAGAATTATGTAAAGTAAGGCTCAACCACATATTAGACATCCTTGATGGTTTAGCATTAAGTGATGAAAGAAAATTGAAGAATAGTCAACTAAAATAGAAAAAATACAAAATGGAATGAAATTTTTATGTGGCTGAAATTGTACATTAAAATACTAAAAGATTTAAATAAAGTGAACTCAAGTTTTTTCAGAAAATATATTAAGTAACAATGCAAAGAATAAGTTTTAACTGAATAAATTATGCCCTAGCTAGCTACCATAATATCATTCCCAAATTTCAGTATCTCCAGCAATACTTCAGATCTTCAGGGTTAATATAATTACCTAGCAGGCACATGGGAAATGTTTTTGGTATTCTCTCTTCATTACTTATTCCACCCAAGAAAACACTGTCATAACCGCCATTTTAATATTATGGGCATTTTACTCCTTGTTCTAACTTTCTTACAAATTATTCAGATTTTTTTTTTGGGGGGGGGGGGGGTTAAAATATTTTTGAAAATTTTCAGTTTCCTGCTTCAGTTCTATGCAATTTCTAGCCATTTTTAAGCTCTGAAACAGAATTTATTTTGAAGTAGAAGAAATGTCTGAAGAATTTTTATTTTCAAAATGTTTTCAATTCGTAATACATATCAAAAACTTTTAAAGACAATCATTACATACAACATGGAAAGCAAACTTACATTTGTTATCAAATTTAAATATTTTTGTACCTTTTCAAAAAGACAACCCTTAGTTCTAGGTTATAAACTGTAAGTTTGACACACTTTATTGTTACAATTAAGTTATGTATAGAATCAGAATTAAAACAGTCCTCCACCCTTCATTTCTTACTGAATTATTAGGTCTACTGGGAGCATGATTCAAAATATAGCTTGCATCCATTCTCTCTCCCTGTATTTAAAAAGTGTGAAAATAAAGGATTTGTCCTTTATTTCCTGTTTTAAAGAAACTGTTCTCCAAGAAAGCAATTAATTTGTTCTCACAAAAACCCTTGACCCTAATCAAACTGTAACAGCATTTTACATGTATCCAGTTCATACAGAGCTGCCTCAAAGTTTTGCAGGCTTCTGTACATATCAAAAGTGCAAAAATACATGTATTAGATTCAAGATGACAATATATCCTTAGAATTTCAAAACAAGAGGCCCAAGGTCCTTAACGGTCACCTGAGTATAATACAACAATTTAGAAGTTAAATACACTGACAGATGAAGCTTTGTTGCCCTAAAGCAAGAGAAGTAGGAAGATCAGGATCAACAAAATAATTAGTCTAGTATTCAGTATCAACTCATAACTTAAGTTCTAATCTGTCCCCCACTTAACATTATCACCATGCAGACTATTAACAAACTATTAGTGCTTCTGTACTATTTTTAAACCCATATTAAGACCTCTAGCATTGACCTCTCTTATGGTCTTTGAAGAACTTTTAATAAGATAAGTTATTTTTGTCTCATTTTTATTTATCTATTACTTACAGGTCTGCCTGATTATTAAAACTAAGAAAGTACTTTTTGAATTATACGATAAACATTCTTGCATAATTATCTTATTCTATTAATCTTTCAAATACATTATTTACAGTGATTAATTATCAAAGGTGAATGGAAAAGGGGAATAACTTCTCTCAGTAGAATACAAATTAATAGAGCCCTGTCCAGGATCAGAATGCTTAGACAAATTGTCCAGATGTTCAAAAATCTGGTAGAAATACGCTTACTTATATCATTTAATCTTTTACTCAGTTTGCTTTCGATATGCCCAGAAGCAGAGAAGAATTTCACAGGTACAATGCATTTTCACTACAGATTCAACAAAGCCTTACCCTAACACCAGAACCCAAGACCAAAGGTCAAGAAATTTACAAATTTGGAAGAGTTACCCTCATCATCATAACTATGGACTTCAAAGAATTAACACTTTTCCACTATATTATCAAAAGCCCCCCCCCCCCCCCCTTCCTCGTTATGCCAGAACCCCTGACCCTAGGACCACAAGATTTAAAAATTCTGTTCGAAGCTCCCATCTTCATCATAGCTAAGCAATTTATTTATCAGCTCAACACTAAGGAGCAGACAGGATTAGTTAATGATTAATTAATAGAATTAATGCATTTTCACTATATAATCAATAGAGCCCCCCCCCCCCCCCCCCCTCAAGAACCCCAAAAACTGAGGCCATGTATTTAAAAATTTTGGAAGAGGCATCCTTGCCTATCATAATCATGCACTTAGTTTGAATAATCTCCAGTAGCAAAGAAGAAGATTTTCATAGAATCAATGCATTTTCACTATATAATCAATAGAGCCCAACCCTAACACCAGAACCCCTGACCCTGGGGCCATGACATTCACAATTTTTGAAAAGCATCCTTATGCATCATAACCATGCACTTTGTTTGTTTAAATAATACCCAGGAGCAGAGAAGATTTTCAAAGAATTAATGCATTTTCACTATATAGTCGATAGAGCCCCGCCCTAACACCAGAACCCCTGACCCTGGGGCCATGACATTCACAATTTTGAAAGAGGCACTCTTGCTCATCATAACTATGTACTTAGTTACTTAATATAATACCAAGGAGCAGAGAAGATTTTCAAAGAATTAATGCATTTTCAGTAGATAGTTGATAGAGCCCCACCCTAACACCAGAACCCCTGACCCTGGGGCCATGACATTCACAATTTTGGAAGAGGCACTCTTGCTTATCATAACTATGTACTTAGTTACTTTACTTAATACCTAGGGGCAGAAAAGAAGATTTTCAAAGAATTAATGCTTTTTCACTATATAATCTATAGAGCCCCGCCCTAACACCAGAACCCCTGACCCTGGGGCCATGAATTTCACAATTTTGAAAGAGGCACTCTTGCTCATCATAACTATATACTTAGTTACTTTATTTAATACCAAGGAGCAGAGAAGAAGATTTTCAAAGAATTAATGCATTTTCACTATATAATCAATAGAGCCCCGCCCTTACACCAGAACCCCTAACCCTGGGGCCATGACATTCACAATTTTGGAAGAGGCACTCTTGCTCATCATAACTCTGACTTAGTTACCTTATTTAATACCCAGGAGCAGAGAAGAAGATTTTCAAAGAAATAATGCACTTTCACTATATGATCTATATAGCCCCACCCTGGGGCCAGAACCCCTGACCCTGGGGCCATGAATTTCACAATTTTGAAAGAGGCACTCTTGCTCATCATAACTATGTACTTAGTTACTTTATTTAATACCCAGGAGCAGAGAAGAAGATTTTCAAAGAATTAATGCATTTTCACTATATAATCAATAGAGCCCAGCCCTAACACCAGAACCCCTGACCCTGGGGCCATGAATTTCACAATTTTGGAAGAGGCACTCTTGCTCATCATAACTATGTACTTAATTACCTTATTTAATACCCAGGAGCAGAGAAGAAGATTTTCAAAGAAATAATGCACTTTCACTATATGATCTATATAGCCCCACCGTGGGGCCAGAACCCCTGACCCTGGGGCCATGAATTTCACAATTTTGGAAGAGGCACTCTTGCTCATCATAACTATGTACTTAATTACCTTATTTAATACCCAGGAGCAGAGAAGAAGATTTTCAAAGAAATAATGCACTTTCACTATATGATCTATATAGCCCCACCGTGGGGCCAGAACCCCTGATCCTGGGGCCATGAATTTCAAAATTTTGGTAGAGGGCTCAATGCTTATTACAATGATGCCAACAGTTTGACTGCTTGATGTCCAGGAGTAAAGAAGAAGATTTTTAAAGATTGCATTATTTTTGGTGGTTTTAGCTCCACCCCTCAGGCCCCAGGGGGGCAGGGACCATGAAATTCAAATTTTTGTTCCCCTTCACCCATAGATGCTATATGCCAAATTTGGTTGAAATTGGTTAAGCGGTTTCAGAGAAGAAGCTAAAAATGTTCAAATGTTAACGCACGACGCACGCCGACGGACGAGAACGGATAGCAATAGGTCACCTGAGTGACTCAGGTGACCTAAAAAAGCATAATTATAATTGCAATTAATTCACAGTCTCTGAACATGATGAAATGATATGAATTATGTTGCTAAATATTATGTATTGAAAAGTTTATAGCTGAGGAAAACATAATGTGTTACAATAACATGCATATATTGTTGACTTAAGAGCAATGTTAAATTACAGTGAAGCACAGAGAAGTTTGGGCTTTGCTAGTTTGTGTTAAATGTAATGAGTGATGTAATAATTGTTTCTGATACGCAGTTTTCCCTTAAAGCTCCACCCTACAAAAGTGATTGTTGGCTTCAGTATTTCGAATTCATAATGCTAGACTTACGAAGCTCCACCTACCCCTATATTGTTCCAGTCCAATTGGAATTCGATCTTTTTAGCCTCATTTTTTAAGACTATTACTGTTACCAGGGGACATTGTTATTGTCCATAACTGCCCTATATATTGAACACATGATGCTAAGAAGAAACTAGAATTTTGACCATTATTGGAGCAAGTAATCCTTTTTGTCACTTTATTTTTTTTTCTAGACTTTAACCTGGTTAAGAACTGCTTCTTCATTCTTAAAAAGAAGCTGTCACAGGAACAATTTTAATTTAGAACTTATAATATCGAGTTTAAACAGCAATGCTAATATGTTCAAACGTGCAATAATTGTAATATTCGACAGACTACAATGCATATATAGCCATTTTCAATTATCCACACACTTTATAAGCAATTCTTTTTTATTGCTTATTTAATTTTTGTGAGACTGATGTGCAGAGCTTCAATCAGCTTTCAACGAGAAGCGAATCTGAAACAATAACATCACTCCACATGACATAAACTAGCAATTGCTAAGCTTCATGGTGCTTCATTTCAAAAAGCTAAAGCAGTTAAAATAAAATAAAAATAAATTAAATATTTCAGAGGCAAGCATTTCAGCTTAAACCTTGTATTTAAATATTTATCTCAAGACAATGATTATGCTAATGACATTGAAATATCATGCAAATTATAAACATAACCTATTCATTAATTCACTAAATGGAAAAAAAATGTTTTATTTATTGGTCTATTGCTAATCAAACTTAGCAAACCAAAGGAAGGCAGTTAAAATTCAAGGGTTTAAATGACTTTAAATCTAATACAATTTCTAAAATACTAATCATAAAAATAAATATTATCAACTAAAACAAGGCTGTATCAATATTTAAACAAAATGAACTCATTAAATGTCAGTTAAGAAGTACAAAGCCTTACCTCTAACTTGTGCTTGGTGCTGTTGGCAGAGCTCTCCGTCAACCATGCAGGCAGGGGTGGGGGTTTGCTCATCATCTAAGGGATACATTCAACCCATGGGTATTTGCATATATAGGGGCATTAATTGTAAGTAATATTTCATTCTCCTATTATATAATAAATTAAACTTAGAATTCAATTAATTCTTCACTCTAGATAATTATATATATTGTCTTTCATAGTATCATCTGATATTATCCTTATAAATCATCAATATAATGAATTTTGATTGAAATTTAGTAATCTAATTAATTGATACAAATCCAGTATTAAATCAATATGATGAATGCCTTTTAAAATTATTCTCTGATGAATTGACTAATCTCTGACTGTTTTACAGAGTTTATACCACTGATTATGCTGAATGTGCAGTCTGGAATGGACCAATCAGAAAGAGTTTTACAGATTTTACCTCTGATGACCTGTAGAGTCTGAGATCTTCTATACGGAACTCCTTCCACACAGGAGAAGGCTGCTGTAGAATTATACGCATGGCTGATATGTTGCAGATGTCAAAGGAAAACTGAAAGAAATATGAACATGATAATATTTTGCACAATAATATAATATTTATTCCTTGTTCAGAAAAAACATATGGATCAGAATTCAAATAAATTTTGGGATTTCTATGATGTCAATCATATTTTTCTGGCTGATGTTGGACATCTACTGACATGAAAAACATGATTTAAATAAAGAATTCTCCTAAAGGTGTTTCTAGCAGCTTGTTTATATGACATATAATTATATAAAGGTTTTGGCCAGTATGTACGCCAATTTTAAAAAGAAAGAAAAACAAATGAATAATGTAACCAGCGAGGGAGAGAAATGCAATGAACCAGGATTTGAACAGGGGCCCCCCGAATCACTAGTCAGGTGCTCTACCAACTGAGCTATTTGACCATCAAACCTGCCTGACTGTCACAATAAAATTAATGAAATATGACTTCAAGACATTGGTCCAATATCATGAATTTATTTTCGTAGGTCAAATATAAAGCAAAATACTTTTTTTCCATTTCAATTGCCTGTTTGTCTTTTGGCAACTTAAAAATGGATAAAAACTTTTAAACTTCATACATGTATTTAGTTAATATGAAAGTCGTCATTGCTACATTCAGGTCAGGATCAAGATATGCTCACACAATAAACAAAACAGATTTTATCATTTGACCACTAAGGTAAATGACATTTCAAATTGAAAAATTACTTTGTCTGTTCATTCATACAGTAAAACTTCTCTATATTGTGTATTCCCACATCTTGTCTAATAAGATGTAAACTTTAAGTCCCTTTCAATAAAATTAATTGTTTAAAATGTTGTCTGTTCTGGAATTCTGTCTAATCTGGCCAATTTCTATGGAATCAGTTGTGTTCAGATTATACAAGTTTCACTGCATATGGTTTAATTTTGTACGTACTTGTTTCTTTGAAATAGAAAAGTAATCCTGGGAACCACTTTCTTTATGTGGGTTAGGCATAAGTCTCATTTTACGCACACAGGTCCTCCATTTTATGTCACCTGCTAAAAACATAATTAATTCATATATATATACATGTAATTTACAAATTTTCAGATTTATATAAATTCTGATAGGTCAAATAGTTATCTTAAGTAGAGCTTTGGTATACAATCTTTTTTAACTAAGCAATAAAATTAAGATTATATTTTGCCGTTTAAAATTTTCAGTTATTGAAAACAAGTATCGGTCTAAATCCTGTATTAGACAAATGTTTTAAAATTTTTCCATTTTTCCATAGATAGGGATCAACACAATAAAAAAAAGTAGATGAGAAATAGTACTTTTTTAAAATTACCTGAGTCTGTTCCATTGTCTGGTGCTGCCTTGAACTTTACTCGTATTGAAATATATGCTGTGTAGTAATTCTTAAAGCATATCTCTCCCACCTGTTCATCAAGAAATGCAATTAATTACTAAGTTGTGCACACAAATAATTAAGCATCATAAAATTCATATGCTATAAAGAAAATTTAGATTATGATATTGTGAAAATTAAATATAACAGCTGAGTGGAATTTAAGATTTCAAGAAAATGCCATCTTGTTCCTGAAGCATGAATTAAGGTGATACATATTGTGATTTTCAAAAGAGGCACAGGGATACATAAAAAAAAACACATAAAAATGAAATAATGATAACAAATTTCCATTCAACCACTGACAGCCTGAAAATTACACACTAAAATACAAGGGATAAGTACCTCAATTATACAAACAACAACAAAATACATCTTTGTAAGTTTTCTCTAGTATGAAAATAAACATGATAAATATAGATTCCATAATCTATGCAAGTTAGTTACTGCTTCTCCATCTCAAATTCATCATTTTTTTTTATGTCAAAAGGCATGAGGTTTATATATATATATATATATATATATATATATATATATATATATATATATATATATATATATATATATATATTGCCAAGTGCATTTTGACACCCAAAAAATTAAAAACTGAAAGTTGATGAAGAACAGTAACTAATGAACACACTATCATAATCATGACTATGCAACCTATTCTCCCTATACAGAATGCTTTAATTTTTCACACTGTTTTCATGACACTTTTCACTCTTCTGTAATAAAATCAATGGTTGAAATATACTGTAGCCCGAAGTCCGAGGCTAATCGTTTTAAGACTCTGGCTAACTAATTTAAATGTAACGATAGTCCCTTGGACTAACAGACCAGGAAAAACAATTTTTCATCGGTTTGCTTTCGTCTTCTATGTAGACTGTTTTTTTTTTTAACTGAAAACTAGTTTAATTTGTTCTTTGTCACCAAAGCATTTGAAACTTTTACTCATGATATGTTTTCATTTTGCATAAAAAGTTGTTGGGCTAGTTAGTTTGAAGTTTAGGCTTATTAAGCCTAGTAATTTTTTACTGATCAGTAGCCCCTGGGCTAGTGAGTTTTCCAGGAAAATTTCAACCCCTGATAATAAAAAAAAACTTTTTTCCTGTGTACCTACCTCAGTTGTCAGCTGGAGGACCAAGAGTATAAATGGCAACTGTACTCAATATGCAGATTGATGTTACTTGAGAAACATTTGATCAGAAGAGATGTCAGAAAGATATAACAAGAAAGATTCTAGTTCAGAGTCAAATTCTCTCCTCGGTTTCTCTTGTAAATTAGAGAAACTTAAGCAGAATCACCAGGAGAGAGTGATCTAACATGGTTCTGTAATGGGAGAATATTAATTTACATCATATTATATCAACAGCGTGAGATCAGTTAAATGCAGGTGTTATACAAAAACACACAAGCATAGTTGGTGCTACCATGTGTTAGTTAAATTACCCTTTCACAGAGGGATATGGGTACAGTCTGCTTCTGCAAGAAAAGTGGGAATGGGTCAATGGGTGTTATTAAAAGTGCTCTAATCACTAGTTTCAACATTTATACACTTGGTTAATTCAGTGCTGAAATGAATGTCAAAATATCAAGATTATCCTAACAATCAGTGATTACAATTAAAAACAAAATAAGATTTTTTGCTTTGCTCATGTACATCACAGCACAAAAGACTTCTGTGAAATAATCAGAGGTTTCAGCTATTCTAAGTATCAAGATCATTTCCAGTGATGATTCGTTTGAATTTTCACCGGGATAAATTTCTTTAAAAAAATAGCAAATTAATTAATTGCAAAAAAATCAGCACCGTTGCTTTTCTAGGTCATTTACAAATCATTCAACTGAATTATTATTTGTAGTGAAACATATTCCCAGGTACATCTATAATGTCTATCACTTCTAATTAGAAAGTGTCCTAATGTTTGAAAGCTAGAGTACTCTAAATAAAGCATTTTGAAAAAATTCAAATAATAAAAACAGTAATGGCAAACTGATTTTAAAAAAAAAAGTATAGCTCTTCTTTTATTCTGAGTAAATTCGGGTGAGATATTTCCTCACCTCTGGCACTGAAACATTCGGGAATGTGATCTCTATCACTTTACATCCTGAGTGGAACACACTCTTCTGATCCTCTACCGTCAGAACAAATGGGTTCTTTATTGAACAGTGAAGGGGGCGGTCGCCCATCACCTTAACCGTTGAAAATTCAAGGCACCTGATGATTTTTGCCTCTTTGTTGTCAATGAAGCGCTTCCTGAATCACAATCAGTTTAGTCTCGTACTTTTAGTTAATTAAGAATATCTAAATAAGTTTATTTATTTAGTGGTATATATTTCATATTTTTGTCTCATAATGTGTTAGAAATTTATAAGTGTTATTTCTCAGTCTATATAACTGTTTAAATGTTTTCGTATTTTACCCATGATCCAATGAACGAAGGCGTGACTGACAGACGAAAATGGCCGACTTCGGTGAACCCATTTCGGATAAGCAAAAGGTAATTTACAAGTTTTTTTTAATATCTTTCGATCAGATATAAGTAAGAAAATAAGAGGCAAGTCATTTTGGTGAAACCAAGCGAATGACAGGGCTTACTTTTGAAGAATATCTAGTTTAATAGGTGCAAGTACCAAAAACGAAAGACCGCATACTTCCGCTTTTGTGTGAATGTCAATAATGGTGTTCTGTTAGATTATGTATATTTGTTTATTGTCACTGTCATCCTTGAGAATAAGAAGGAGGCGGAAATTTAAAGAATATTTACTTAGCGGGTTAGATATTACCTTCTTAAGCTAAACTGAAATTGCATCTACCGAATTTCCTCACAAAAGTAGATGATTATCATTTTCATGTTCGGGAATTGGCAACATATCACAGTAAACGAGCTTTTGCTCAAAGAGTTTTAGTCATTGATCAGCTGGTGATGCTAATGCCAATTTTCTTTATGATCCAGTGTTCTGAGTCTCTATTAGTTTGTTAATTAATAAAACTTTTAATTAATCATGTTGGACAAATTTCCACAACATAAACATTCTGCACGAAGCACATTAGACAGAACTGTCTTGCCACTCAAAATGGCAGTATGATAAATAGGCAGTATATTCGATGGTCTCAAATTCAGACTCAGAAGGGCTATTATCAATGGTTATGGGAAATGTAGCAAATTGAAAAGCTCCTTTAGTACAATGTTTATTTACCCAAAATAAAACACAACACTACAAGTTTTTAAAACAATGTTTACACCCAGTAAAATGGATTTTTAATAAATTTTAAAGCATAAATTGTAAAATAATTCAAATGTATAGCAAACAACTATAAATTCGGCAAATTCGGAAATACTACCAATCAGGGGCATGTGTTGATTTTGAATATATACAACATAATTAAACTAAGTAACTTAAAGATATGGAGTATAGACAGTGCTAACAGCAAATTTTGAATAATTTTTTGACAGATAAATTAAGGTTTTGTTCAGAAATATTTCATAGCATAAGAAATATGTTTAAAATTTTAATCAACCTCCTAACCCTTTGTTGTCTCTATACAGACCAATAAACTTACTTGTTGTGAATTTATTGTCAGATGGCATAACAAGTTTATTGATCTGTAGAGGCGACTAATATAAAGGGTTAGGAGGTGGATAAAATATACAGGTTGGTTAAAGAATATGGCTAGAATTAGGGGATGAAAGGTTGTTGATTGACCAATGCTCGAAAGTGGCGAAATACATCCCCAAAGTGTGTAGAAAATCTTGCACTGTAAATTGCACTTTATTTGTACATTACAGGATCTGTAGCGTTATGGTCAAAGACTAAAATATAAAACTATAACGTTACAGTTCTGCAGCTAGACTAAGCTATTAAAATGCTTTTTTTTCAATTTTGAGTTCTTTATAAAATGGGCAAAAAATGTTTTACTACTGCTACTCCTGTAGGCGGTTATTTTTTCCTTGTGTTGTTCTCACCTCATCACACATACAAACTGTTTTACCCTGTTTTATATTTGCATATAGAGAGGGTGAAAGTGGCATAAATAAAAAGGAGACAAAAATGTCCCTGTATACAATACTCACAAAACAATTCAAGGCAACAGTAGTTTAATCAACTTTATTGATTTTGAACATTTTAATTAAAAGTAAAACCATGTAGATTGTAGTACCAATCTATCTTATTGACCAGACTTGGTCTCTATCCATTTTAATTCAAAATGCATCTGATCAGTCACAAATCAGTGATGTAATATAGCCTGAAAACTTTTGAAACTTCATTGCAAATACTCTGAAGGAGAAACTGTGGAAAGAACAATTTTATATGCGGTGTTTTAAGATCAATATAGACATGATAGAACGTTGTGTAGAATGTAGAAAACTATCATGCCATCAAAACATTTTTGTAAATTTGGAAAAAAATTACACTTTGAATATGAAATGAAATTTTGAACATTAGCCCTACTGGCTAGTGACTCAAAAATATTAGCCCTATACTAGCTAGTGACTCGGAAACATTAGCCCTACTGGCTAGTGACTCAGAAACACTTTCGTAGCGACTGTATAGTTGGGAGTGACTGACTCCTAAAATATATTCTTCCGCAATCATATAAGTTAACTATCCTTGTAAAACAGTCAGGCACATGACTGAATTGAAGTCTTTTTAAAGTAACTCACTATAAGTTTACTTCACTTATGAATAAATGAAAAAAAATCATTTGAGTTAATTCTTAAACTTCAATGGTCAATTTCACAAATCCCTAGTCCTTGCCCTATGTGCCTTCGGGTGCAACAACAAGGACTAGGTAGACCAATTTTGTAAATTCTTAAATTGCGCACCCCCTAAATTGTGTGTAGTCTTTAAAGAACAAATTTTCTTAAATTCCTTGAGCAATTTCCATATACTATAATATTTGTAATGATTTGTTTAATTTTAAAGATGGGTTACATTTTATACTGCCCTAATAAACATTTTCCATTCACTATAAACCTCAATTACAACAACAAATAGAAAATACCTTGATTAAAGTTGCAATGGGCTAATGTTTCTGAGTCACTAGCCAGTAGGGCTAATGTTTCTGAGTCACTAGCCAGTAGGGCTAATGTTTCTGAGTCACTAGCCTGTAGGGCTAATGTTTCTGAGTGTAACAGTTTTTTTTTAACTTTCATAGTACTTTCAGTAGTATATTTTTTATGGAACATGAGACATTGATTAAATTGTAAATGAATTAAAGTATTGATCCATAAACCACACTGTTAACAAATTCAGGAAGAAATTTCTATGTTATATGTGCAAGAGCATGCAATCGAATGGCTAGTGTGGTTATTGGAGAAAATGTGCTCAAGGTAATAGTGAAAAATTTGAATGGCAAGTTTATGAAAGAAGTAGGGTTTGTGTTGACATGTATGCATTTGATCAGAGGAATTTCCTGTGTCATTGTGGGTATTATTGTGTAAGAGTTATTGAATAGACCCGAGATTTGATATGTCTAGACTCCACTGTATCCCTGCGTGTGATTTGATTAAAATTAGATCTTTGACTCATTCCTATTTAACTTTTTGAGAGGTTGCGATGAGACCCCGATGACATCTCCTTAATTGCAACTATGCAATATTTGTCTCAAATTAGTATTGTTACAAATCTGTATATGGGTTTCAGGGTCAAAGTTTCTCTTTCTAGCTAAGGGCTCATGCATAACTTGTGCATAATAGTTTTGTGATGAAATCTTTACTTGGTACAAGGAAATACTTGTTACATTTGTTTGTGATGTGACATGGATAATATGTGTGTTCTTGTAACAGTTTTCAATACTCAGTATGTTATTTTAATAGAGCTTGAGCGTCGATTCTAGATTTAGATAAAAAATGATGCAGTAAGTCTTATTGGATTGGGGAATTTGTTTTATTCATTACAAAGCTTTATAAACTTTCAGATTAAAGGGTAACAAACTGACAAATGACATTTATTGTAGGCGGAGTGTAACAAAAGACTGAGAGATTTGGGTTAGGATACAGTTAAGGTCAGACGACACCTTCCTTGAAAATATATAATTTTTCCTAAGAATTTGTCTTAGAAGTATTGCTACTTAAACAAGTTTCCTCACCAAAAATTGAGGTATCTTACCAGGCATTTGGGCAAGATTCCAGAGGGTGCATTTCTTATATAATCCTTATGGGAAATCTTTAGAATTGCCAATGTCACAATTTTTGGTGTACTCATTTTTTAAAACATATAGAAAACAATTTAGAAATTAAAAGAGAATGACAATTATGAATATTTTTTATATAATACCAAGATATTCAAAACATGTATTTGAGGAACGTGTCGTCTGACCTTAAGGAATAGAAGCCTTTCATCATGTTCATGTTGCTTCGACTTTTAATGTCTAAGATACCTACAAAACAATGCAAAAAAGAAAAACTGTTGAATGCTTTTGAAACTCTGATATTACATAGCAAGCTTTAAATGCTTTTTTGTTTTTTTTTAAGAAGAACATGTTTATATTTTTTGTCAAAATTATCCACTTGTTAAAAAAAAATGTTTATCATGTTGAGTACGTATGTCATGATTTGATAATTGTTTCCAAGAAAAAACATAAAATTTCAGTGTTGTTTTCCATTTCGTTCTTTTTTTCTGGTTAAAATGCATAAGAATGGAATATTTTGGCTAATACCTTTCACTTGGTCAATCTCTCATTTTCTTGGTAATCTGCACTCATAAGATCTGTAAATGCATGGTAAAGTTGATTGAGAACATTGAACTATTGTTTAGTGTGCACTTGGTGACTCATTTTGAGAAAGTAAAGGTCAAATCTGTACTTCCTTATTAGTAAAATTAAAGCTACCAGTCTTTCATAATATTTTTTAGCAATTACAATTATTTTTGTCAATTTAGCTGAAGAAAGTTTATGTGTAATGATATTTTAAAAATTAAAAAAGAGAGTAAATACTGTACAGTAATTAAAAAAGTATAGGGTTTAGTCAATTTGGTGCATGGAAAAGTACAGGTTTGTGTATCTCTGTCTTTTATTTGAGAGAAAAAAATAATGCAGAAAAAGAATGATGGATAGAATTTATTTAAATTATAATCAGGTATATGTCTTTAATGAACCAAGTTGAGGAGTCTTCCCTGTTTCACATTATGAGATGGTGTGTTTATCAGATAGCGCTGTTAAGGGTTTTCCCCAGAGTGCAGGTTACCTATTTAATTGTAATAAATCAGTTACAATGGGAAAGGATATCCTGTTGTGTTTAGCATTTGTCAGTTTGTATACTTAATTTTACTTTGTATTAATTCAGTAGAATGTTAAGTGTCCATTTTTGAGTTCAGATATCGAAAAGAGTTATGAGATGGTCATTAATTAAGTGAAGGAGGTTCAATAAGAATAATATAATATTAAAGTTTCCTCATATAATTATATATTTAATATGGATTCTTAATATCATCATGATCATTGATATTGTTGTATCTTTGATAGTAGTGTACATATTCATATAAAGTTTTGACAAGTATTGAGAGGTCTTAATAGCTATTAAATGAGAGTAACTTTTCAAGTACTTGATGTTTTTTATAATCATCTTACCATGAGTATAATTATTATTGATTTTGAGTTATAAATGTATATGTTTTATCTATAATTTGCCCAAGTGAGCATCCCAAGGGGAGGATGGATAGGTTGGACTGGGGTAGGTTGGACACTGGGGTTGGGTGGGATGGTGTGAAAGGGTTTGTTTCTTGGATCTGCATACATTGGTTATAATCTGTCTGACAGAGGTGGTCAACATGAACTCATATACCAGGGTATACATTTATATGTATCAATTAATACAACAATTTTTCTGAAATCTGTTCATATTCATCATGAAACATAAAAAATCAGGTGTATTTTACTGTAAGGTGAGGTTTCAAAGAGGCCAATATGTCACTTGTACAAGGTCGGATATAGAGAGAAGCCAATGTGAAATATCAGATACAAGTACATTTGTCACAAGAGTGAACATTTTCCTTATTTCATTCTGTAAAATCACTTATTTTTGAGGGGTCAAATTTTTGTGGTTTGAGGAAAAAATATTTGATTTCGTTGTTAAAGAAGAAACTTGATACTGTTATATAAAATCTTAGTGTTTCATGGGGGACATGAATTTACACGAAGAAGCAATAAAAAATTAAACCTCCACAAAAATTGGTGATTCACAGTATGTAAATAACATGATAAAGTACTTAATTAGAAATCTCACTTTATCATACTAGTGTTAGATTCCCCCCCCCCCCCTATAGATTTATTTAATATATATAGAAACATTATTGTTTCATGTTATCATTTTGAAAACTCGGTAACTGTTTCTTTTTATTTTGTAGGTGGCCATTGCCTCAGATTTTATTCGACATGCACCTCCAGGGGAATTTAATGAGGTTTTTAATGGTAAGTTTAAAAGGGCTTTATCCCTGAGGTAAACTTGCTTTTATTGCAACATTTAATTATTATTTCACTTCTAACATGTCTAAGATAAACAACACTAAAGTACAGTTTTGTAGAAGTGAGTTTGAAGTTCCAAAAATTTTCTATGCTCAGTGATGAAAATCAGTAAAATGATATTAAGTATTTTAGGTTGATACAGGGCTGATGTGTAATTGACTTAAAAGTTTAACTTTTAACTTTTCTTTCCCTTTAGATGTGAGAATTCTGCTTAATGATGATGATTTACTTAAGGAGGGTGCCTCAGGGTAAGGCATTTCTCTGATCTTTCTTCATCTCTATGAATTAAAATAATTTCTGTCTGCTTAAGCTTGGAGAGTACCAGTATTTCTGATTTACAAAGTTACTTTTATAAACTGAAAACAATTGAAAAATGGATATTTTGAATTTCTGTATTCACAACCATTTATGCTTACAAGACTTGATACAAATTTTATGGAGAAAACTACCCTAGTAAGCTAAAGGGTTGTACTTAAGACCCAGGAGCCAGGGCATTTCCCTGCCTATATTGACGTAATGCCCTGGTTATTCTGGTATTCCTCCCCAACCCCTGTTAGGGGAGGAACCCCAGATCCCCTCCTACTTTTTTAATGTCCCCTGCTATATTAATTCTTAGGGACAACCCAGCTAGTGCAGGACATACTTTTACATTGTTTATTGAACTACTTGCAGGTCATTTGCCCAGTACAACAAAGATCAGTTCACTCCATGTAAAGTTGGTTCATCAGAAGAATTAGTAAGTACACTTGTACCTTGTTATCCTGAACACTAAAATGTTGAATACTAGGGATGATGACCAGAGAGTCATTATGAATGCTGATCTCAACCTAGCTATCTCACATTCTTAGATCACTTGAATTTTTCTGACAATCACACCATGTTTGGGATATCAAGGTTTTACCCCCCCCCCCCCCCCCCCCCGCCCAAAAAAAAATAACATGAAATTAAAACAATAAAATAGCTACAGTACAGTCAAACACAGTGTTTCAAGGGACAAATGAGGATAACAAATTTGTTAAAGGCTTTTTTGTTTTATCTCATTAGAGCGTTGTTTTGGCAGAAATTTAAATCCTCTCCTTGCCATGAAGTTTGTTCTTGTTATAATCAGGATTTTGATATTACTAGGTACAGCATAGTTAGTTTTACTGTATCTTTGAGATCTAGTAATTGAGAAATTTTTGTATACTCATAATTGAGCCCTACAAGTGCAACATGTGTATCCTAAATCGTTCCTTTTGCTGTAAACTTGATTGGTGTGTCCCATTGTAAATACAAAACATATAAATATAAATTAATCATAAATAAAAATGCCCATACTTTAACCTATTTAACAAGATGGCGGTGCATTGAGTGCAAGGAAATACAGTTGCACTATGGTATCTCAAACGTCAATACCTCAAATACTATAGATATATCGAAGTCATTTGGAAGTCCCAACCACTTTTCCTTGATGTATTTTACAATCAATATCTCGACAATCAGATATCTGGAAATTTTTTTTTTATCAGTCCCATCGATTTAGAGATAACGAGGTTTGACTGTATTTATGTCAGTTGAGTAGATAACAGATGCATGTTAAAGATGATAATGGTAATAATCAATCGAGGCATCAGTGTAAGGAAATATTTATATTGCCAAGTAAAACAGATACATGTGGAAGAGAGAATGTTCCCTGAAGTGGAACTTTTTGATTAAGAATGAGGAAGAAGGAAGTCCATTTTATGTTTTGAAACAAAGCTTAAAAAAAGAATATATTGTGAGGAAGTAAAACTGTAGATTGCATTACTTGATTGAACACACACTGTCTTTGAAATGAAAAACTGTGACAATTACTTTTGTAAAACAGCATTAAGAAAAAAAATTGAATTACATGTAGCAAACATGAAAATAGCTCACAAAACATAATTCAGGTCCTTCATTCCGAAAGTAATCAGACTTCCAGCTGTTACTCTAGTATCTACAGATCTAGTCTTCTACTTAATGCTACCTTCCTCTTTGTCATTGTACAGTTAGTTGATCATTGTATAATCATAAAACTTCATTAGGAGGGGGGTATCCTTGCCACATTCAGATTTTTATATCAATATAGGTTATTTCATATACTTGTTTTTGTTTGTGTCTTTAATACCGTAGATTCCTAAATATACGCGAGGAATAAATTATCGCGTAATTGCGCGAGAAGCACCACTCGCGAAATAAAATTACTCGCTTTTATTTTTATGGTTCTGAAATCAATGTAAAATCACTTGATCAACCATCCACTCACATTGTTCTCGCGATTTGACGTTAAAGAGTCATTTCGCCATAATAAGTACTCAGGGCTATTCCAGGAAAAATTGTATGGGGGGGTTGGAAGGCACTTTTATTTTTACCCCACCACCCATACATTTTTAATTACCTTCTACCCCACCCCCAATCAATTTAAAATTGCTTTTGATACAACCACCCATCTAAATTTAAAAAAAAATTGTGTCACATAATTATATATATACAATAAAATTTTATGTACTTTTTTCAGGTATTGTAATTTATCTGACTTTGAATGAGTGTTGGGTTTTGACATCTATCCAACCAGAGCCCGTTTTACAAAAGAACTTATGACTAAGATCAAAATGTTATTATGCAAATAAATTTCTTTTTTGCATTACTTTAAAAATGTTTTAAATCTTTTTGAAAAAAAACAAGATAGTTTTATGCCAACAATTTTTAACAGAAGCATAAGTTTCATAAGATTTTATGAACAACTAAAGTTTTTAGTCTTAGTCATAAGTTTCGTTGTAAAACAGTTCCCCGTGTTCCTGCTACAGCTTAAAAAAATACGTTCCTTTAGGCCTATGATACACACCACTGAAAGCCTTTATTGCAATGATTTGTATATCTGTTCTGATGTATGACTTTGTAGTCTGTAAAGCTTAGGTAAAGCTTTTACAAGTATATATACATATGGACTAGTAGAAATGACATTCCTACAATTAATTAAAATTAATATTGTAAATTATAGCCTACCTATCCTTAACAATTGTTGTTCACCTTGTTCATAACAAAATGATTCCTGCTTTTATGGGGGGGGGGGGGGGGACTAAACTTCTGTAGGCAGTGTCTGTGAAGTGAAAACTTTGATTAAAAAAAATATATTGAATGAATTCTAAATCCCATCTAACAACTTAGACGATTGGTGCATACAAGTTCGAAAAGTTAACAATTAACAGGTTAAGGACTGGCATGTTTTTGACAAAATATATTTCATATTGTTTTCAAACTCATATCTCATCTTCCTTTTACTCTGTATGTGGTGTAAAGTAAAATATTTGACTTGCAAACTCCGTAGTCATGCTCTAAAACGTTCATTATCAGATACGTTTTTTTTCTACTTTCGGTTTAAAATAAAACGATCTTTCTGATTGTTTCTAATATCATTTAATTTACCAATGTAATCATGTTTGATTAAACTGGCGAAAGGAAACTGGACCAGGGAGTCCAAAGCACAACTAATCTGTTTTCCAATCCCCCCACTCTCATTCATTGCAGTCACAGTTGCACATGCTTTTACAGTTGTCTGCCCTTGTTTCCGTTTTGTTCAATTCTACTTTCACTTTCATTGTAAACATACTTTACAACTGTTTAGGACGAAAATATCAGTATTTACCGATTTATACAAAATGAGAGGAAAGAAGTACTTTGCACTTCATTATTTGTGAGGGTAAATACAACCACCCATCTAAAAATATATCGAGTGAGGACAACCACCCATACAAATTTAATTGCTCCAGACCCACTACCCATACAAAAATATATGAAGTGCCGTCCAACCCTCCCGTACATTTTTTCCTGGAATAGCCCTCACGAAAAATAAGGAATTTACAGTAATTAAAGAAAAATACAGAGAGAATTTATTATTTGGGTATGAACACAATTTGAATGTGGCTATTTTTCCATTCAATAGGTTTTAATAACAGAACATGGGGACCTAGGAGGAAGTCGATTTCTAGATCCGAGGACCAAGCAGTCTTTCAAGTAAGTTATTATGCATAGTAATTAAGTTATTATACAAAGTAATGTGATATGATAGAGTATGTCTGATATGATTGGGGTTGGCAGCAGACTTGCTGTCTAGATAGGGGATGGGGCACATTTTAAAAATTTTTGTTGAATTCACATGCAAATATTCAAAATTCATGAAATTAGCATCATGCTTTACTTCTCCCCCTTTACCCAATCCATTGAAGCTATTAAAAAAACTGCCTTAAAACATCTCACTGAAAATTGATATTGAATCGGATTCTGTAGTTGATTCATGTTAAAACAGTTGCATGCGTAATGTTTTGTCTTGGAGAATAACACCACACATTCTCCATCCAAAATTAAAGCATTGATTGTCACAGAAACATCACAAGTAGAAGATGAATTTTTTTTATATATATCTGTAGATATGACCACTTGCGAAAAGAGGCCAGTGATGTGCAGCCAGCAAAGGCTGACCCTACGGCAGAACCCTGGCGGTCAGCGATAGAGTCATCATTAACGTCATACAGAGATCAACACTATAAACAGGGGGTGGTGACCGTTTACGGGAACAGCTCAGGGGGGAACGTTACTATCATTGGCTGTATTGAAAGCCATCAGTATCAACCCAAGAACTTCTGGTGAGTGTGTGTTCTGAAATAGAAATTGTAATATAGTTCTGTAATATTGATCATGCTGTAGTGTCATGTCAAAGTTTCTATAAGATTGTCTTAAGATAAGAAGGCAAAGTAGCTTCAAGAAGGGAAAAAACAACAAACATTTTGCCTCTATGAATTAAAGGTTTAAGATGATATTAGTTTAGAATATATCACTATGTTTGACATTCTGATGATGGAGAAAGTACGATGTAATACAGCTGAACTTCGGTATCTCGAACACTGGTATCTCAGTGTATCAAATTTTTTTCTCGGTCCCATATTCGAGATAATGAGGTTTAACTGTATTTCTAATCTGGAAACTTGTAAAGTTCTTTCATTATAAAATTGATTGCTATACTTGATGTATGTTTTATTACTTTTTTCTTTCACTATCAGGAAGTTATTGGTAAATAATACACCATTCATTTCCTGTTCAGACAATTATCTCTTATGTATGTTTCCCTAGGAATGGGAGATTGAGGTCACAGTGGTCCGTTACATTCCCAGAATCAGGGGGTGGGAAGGCTGAACTGACGGGGGTCATTAAAGTACAGGTAAATAAACAGACCATTAAAGTAATTATATACAAATGGTGTGAATCAAGGATTATTTTACTTTATACATTTAAAAGCCAGACAGTTTGTAATAAATTCATAAATAAATATATAAGTGTTAATATAAATAAAGAACCGTACAGTTTTGTACAGATAAGAATACAATCGTGTAATTTATGCAATGTCGGCTTTCTTATTTAAATTCATTGTGAATTTTTAAAATGATTTAATGTAATCTTGAGGACCCTCTAGACACTAAAGCAAAATGTAAATTATGTTGTATAAAGGTGCAAATTTTGAGCTTTATTTCATTTCCAACCTAGGGTACCAAGCATTTACCCTCTAGAAAAATAAAGTGTTGATGAACAGAAATCACTGTCGTTTCCTTAAGTGGGGAAAATACTAGCAAATAAAGCATTCAGTTAAATTATCTGTACATATTCAAATGTTAAAAATGCTTGAATTCATTATAAATTGATTAATAATACACTGAAAATTTCAATTTATTTAGTTTAGATTTAAGGGCAGATCACTTACTGCATAAAAATACCACATAATGGGAACTCTTTAGTGAGCAGTGTATAGAGGGTTCTTCATGCTTCAAGTATTTGTAAATGATATTTGCCATTAATTAAGAGTACATTTAGAAGAAGTGCTTAAAGAGTGGATTGAAAGCATTTTTTATAAAAAATACATATGTTTAGTTCAACTAAATTACTTAGAGCTGATGGACATACACTTAAGATATCAAATAAGTGAATTATTTTTTTCTTTTTTTTCTGTAACAGGTACATTACTATGAAGATGGAAATGTACAGTTAGTAACATCTAAAGAGGTCAAACAGACCTTGAACATCTCGGTAAGAATATCCCTCTGCCCCCCCCCCCCCCCCCCCCCTCCCATATAGCTTGAAAGTTTGAAAATCAGTGTGTTTTTCAGTTAACTGTAAATATTGACCAGAATTCTTGAAATAAGCCCGTTTCCTTCACTGAGAACTAGTTAGTTATATTGGCTAATATTTGTAAGATACTTTTCTGTTTAGTTTTCAATGAGTTGTGCTCAGTATTTTCTTCAAGGAGTCTGGTTTTGAAGGTTCCACCATTTTTGCTGGAATTTTCCTTGATCATTATCATTTCTTTGTTGATTGGCATACATATCAAGAAGTTTTCAATTAATGAATGACTATATATTTAAAAAATAATATGCTCAGTGTATTTTGGAAGGCAGAGTTAGGTAGATCTATGTATGGAAACTAAAGCTTCCAAGATGCAATGATTTTAAGTAGAAATGTTTTTAAATTTCAAATAGAAATACAATTTGCTTTGTATTGTTACTCAGTTTTGAATGAATATGTAACAAATTTTGACTCAGTTTGAAATAATTTAAAAATAGTTCTGTTGTTTAAATTACTTAAAGATATTAGAGCATAGATTTAAATCAAGTCTCCTTGTGATAAAATGACATGGTTCCAAGATAAAGTATCTTCATAGTCACAGTCGCACAGTCTTTGATAATGAAAGAATACAAGAATTTTTTTTGTGTTGTAATCAGTAAGATAAGTTAATTTGGGTTAATTTTTTTTCTCTTCAAATATTTATTTTTCTATATGTGTTGTATGTAATAATGTAAACTGAATCTTGTAATAGAAACATGAAAAAAAATCGTCAAAAGTAAGTTTTTTTTTTCAGATTTGCTTTTTTTGTCTTTTACATTGCTAGTGTACAAACAGTATTGGCATGGTGAAAGGAAAAACTTACAGAATGTGGAATTTCTTTACAAACTACTGATTGAAAATAAATTGAATGTTTGTCTTCTTTCTCAACCAGCTTTTGAAAATGCAAATTTTCATAACACATACCTCTAGAGAGAAAAAGCACGACTCTTAATTAGTATGCAAAATTTCTAGGTACTCGTAGCTTCACTTCCAAAGTACATGTACTAGCTCAGACTTGGCTTTTATTTAGAACATTAGAAATAACAATAGAGGTACATTTTTGTATATAATTGTTAGAAAAAATACTTTATTTTCCTTTTTCATGATATAAATAACAGAAGAGTAAAGATTGTTTAAGTTTTATAATATGGACTTTAAAAAAAGAAATATCTAGAGATCAATACAATCAATATTAAGCATAGAAAATAAAGCTGGAAAGATTTTTGTAAAAAAAAAGGAATTATTTCATATCTGATTGACTGCACTCCTTGATTCTTGGATATGACCTAATGTCAAGCATGTTTTTAACCTCTGAGTGAATGTCTTAATTGTGAAACACAACTCAACTAAACCAAGGGGCTTCGTTTAGTTAAAATACAGGAATCTGAATTAAATATTTTTTTTAAAGAGAATCTTTTATCCTGAATAGAAATTGTTGTTCAACTAGTGTCCAAATAGGATTTTGTTTTAGATTGATATAAAAGGGATGTTTTTGAGAATTTTCTTTACAAAATATGTGGAGCATGGCTTTTAAATTAGCTACATTTTTCAGGCTGAGGAACAAACAGCAAAAGAATTTGCCAAGATTGTTTCTGAAGCTGAGTCTGACTACCAGGTATGTGGGCTACATTTATATATAATTCAAAGTCCTAAATAATTCTTTGTAACTGACATGGTGAAAAGTGTGTAGTTAGAAAAACTATTTGCATCTAGATCTGTTACTGATACTTTTTAATTCAATTGCAATTTTTTTTTATTTCTTTACAAGGAGGGGGGAGGGGGATGAAAATTCTTTGAACACTACAGTACATGTACTTAACAATACTGTAATCAAAATTGAGTGCATCTGTTATTAGCAAAGTCTTGAATTAGTGCTAATAGGTATTCATGTTCATCATACTCATGTTGATTTAAAGTTTGGTGGTTATCGTGAGACAGAGCAAAAGGGCTTCAATATGAACCCCTGGGTCCCACTAAATTTAGTAGGCATACAATCAAATTATTATCATCAGAAGAAAATTTTAAATGTAGAATTATTCTTGGTTAATATAGGTTTTGTTCATAGAAATGCTCATTAATTGACCTTAAGATTGTTCATTTGTAATGAAAATAAATGAGAAGTGATCTACATGATGTGTCATCCCTCTTGCAGAAAGCCATTGGAGAGAATTACATGACCATGTCAGACACTACCTTTAAGGCTCTACGACGACAACTTCCTGTCACCAGAACAAAAATAGACTGGAACAAAATTATAGGTTATAAAATTGGAAGCGAGTTGAAGAATGCATGAGAAGACATGAGTGAAAGTAAAGCCATTATTCCAGTGTTATGAAAATCCATCTCTGAAGATTTTTTCATGGGACTTCCGACATTTATACAAGTGACCTGTCGTTTGTATAAAAGTGCTTTATGGTGTGGATGTAGATATTCATGAATTAAAAAAAAGAGGAAATATTATTTCTGTACATTCTACTATGATCATGTATGCTGCAGTTCTTAAGCATTTACATTTAATTTTTTTTCCCAATCGGTTCAGATTTCCTTTAGTAGTACCCTGATGTAGAATCTTGTGGCTAGAGTAGAGGAATTTCTGTTAAGAAATTAATTTGTTTGGCTGCTGTTAATTATTTTTTTTAATTATTATTAAAGATTGTCCAATGATGATGAGAATATTCAGTCATGTGCAATATTTTTAGCCAACAACATATTTGTATCAGTATCAAGTTTATAATTTTGAAATAATTTGTAAATTTTATTGTGATTATTTGGGAAAAGAATCCATTATTGAAATGTACATGTATGCATATTTATACACTTTTCATACACAAGTATAATGTTTTTTCACAATGAAATTACCTTCACAGTGTCAAAATATTGAGACATTTGAAGATAATTATCATCAATTTAAAAATTGCATAAGTTAGGCATCATAGGATCCTACATGTATTTAATATATATTTCGGAAAGTTTAAGACTTTTCTCTTGAATTACACTAACTTTTCCTTTAAAGATTACTTCCATTAACAAGCGATCAAAATTTTTCATATAAAGTAGTATTATACTTAGTATTTCAAATTTAGTCCCATAGAAATTTCTTTGTTCCTCAGGAATTTTACATTGAAAAAAAAGTTTAATTAATTGATATTTCTCAGTACTTGAAATTTTCTTTTAAGAATCAAGATGGTTTTATAAGTAACATATTGGATGCCATAATAATAGGAGTCTCAAACTGTGTAAGCTATTTATAGCAATGTCTCTTAGGCCAATTGTTTACAGAACCAATGTTACTTGTACTATAATGCTATGATCGTATATTGTATATGACTTCTGTATGAATATAAAATCTAACACAATGATCAAAAAAGAAGTGTTTTTGTATTCTGTTCATGGTTGTTACTTGGGAAATAATTTATTTTACACAACACAATTGAAAATCTCTTAATGGTCTTGAAAAAGGTTTTGAAAAAAACAAATTGAAAAGTTTAAGAACATGAATGAATTGTCTTATGTTTCAATAAAAGCAAACTTCATGGCCCATTAAATATGCATGTTAGTGTGTAAAAAATTATTTAATAATTTTGAGCCATACATGCACACAAAAACTGAATTATGAGCACAGACTCTGAGTCCTTAAGTGTCCAATTGTCCAACCCACCATCATTATCAGTATGCATATATTTATTTATGCTCTCATTTAGTAAATTACATGGCAGTTTGATTATTATATCAAAACATATAAAAAGTTTAAACTTTCAGAGTCATATTCACAAGTATTTGTATAATGTATGAAACCCTGAAACAATCTTTTTAATCCATTTAGCTTTCCTGGGCTGTAAGCCCAAGTGAGCTTTTCTGATCACCTGGTGTTGGGAATCCACTTGTCTGTAGTTTTTTATTTGCCTGTAAACTTTTCACATTATCAATTGTTTCTAGAACCACCTGGTCAAATTCAACCAATGCAAAACATCCTTAGAAAAAGGATTTCAAAAATTTTCAAATAAAGGGCCATGTTACCTTTCAAGAGATAAAAGGAATGGCAAAAATAAGGTGGGGTCATTAAAAGAATCATCTCAAGAACCATAGGGCCAAAGAACTGAAATGTGAAAGCTTCCTTACATAGTGTAGATTCTAAATTTAAAAAAAATGGCTCCTGGGATAGGGTGGGCAACAATAGGGAATCAAAGTTTTACATGTCAATATATAGGAAAAATCTTAATCTTCTCAAGAATAGTTAGGTAATGATAAGTTACATAATAAAAAAAGGAACCTAACCCAGGTAGTGCAAATACATTTTTCAACTCATTGCCTTGGGAGAAGGGTATGTAGGGCCCTTATTGGAGATCAAAATATATACTTTAGGGAAAAGTCTTTTAAAAGAACAGCAAGGGCATGATAAGTCATCTCAACATGCAAGCTTCCTCAAGTAATGAAGGTTCAAGACATTTTTAAGTCATGACCCCATTGATAAGACGAGACCAAAGTATATATATATATATATATATATATATATATATATATATATATATATATATATATATATATATATATATATATATATTAAAAGCTTCTTTTCAAGCCCAACAGAGCTTGATTAGTCATATTAAAATGGAAGTATTTTTTAGATATGCTAGTGCGGATTCAAATTTGTTTAATTATTGGCCCTGGTGGGAAGGACTGGGCCTCAGTAGGAGATCAGAGTTTTACACGTGAATAAACACATAGGTAATCAAAGATTACGAAGCTCACCTCGACAAATCTATAAGTTAGGCAAATTTCACATCATATTTTTTTCCTCGTTAGTGTACCCCAAGATCCAATCCATGCAAGTTTGGTTTAAGTAGGACTTGTAATGGACATGCTTAAAAACTTTTAAACTGTTCACTAATCAAGAAAATTTTGGTCAGTTTCAACATCCAAAGCAAGTGTGGAAGTTTTCATCCTTAGATGCACCATCTATGCAAGTTTAATCAAAACAGGCCATAATATTATATAGCTACTCCAAAAAATTACCCTGGTCACTCTTCTGGAAAATGTAGGTTGATTCAGAATCCAAAGCAAGTGTGGTAGTGTCCATCCCCAGATACACCATCCATGCTAATTTGGTTAAATTCACTCATGAGAAAATCTAGGTCGGATCCAGCATCTGAAATAGGTTGGTTAGTGTACATCCCTAGATGCATCGATCATCCATGAAAGTCTGGTCCAGGTAGGGCTTATAGTTACTTGCGAATGGACCTGCTCCAAAAACTTTAACTGGTCACTCATCTGGAAAATCTAGCTCAGATCCAGCATACGAAGCAAGTATGGTAGTATACTTCCCTATATGCATCAACAATGCAGGTCTGGTCCAAGTAGGACTTTTAGTTACTTGGGAGCTCCAAAAACTTTAATCTGGTCACTCATCTGGAAAATCTTGGTCAGATCCAGCATCTGAAGCAAGTGTGGTAGTGTACATCCCTGGATGTATCATCCATGCAAGTTTGGTCAAGGTAGGGCTTATAGTTACCTGGGAATGCACCTGCTCCAAAAACTTTAACCTGGTCACTCATCAGGAAAATCTACATCAGATCCAGCATCCGAAGCAAGTTTGTGTCCATCCCTAGATGCATCATCCATGCAAGTTTGGTCCTGGTAGGTCTTACAGTTCCTTGCAATTTGGGAATGGACCTGCTCCAAAAACTTTAACACGCTCACTTATCTGGAAAATCTACGTCAGATCCAGCATCCGAAGCAAGTGTGGTAGTGTTCATTCCCAGATGCATCATACATGCAATGTAAAACTTTATCCGGGACGCAGACGCTAACGCCGACACTGACGCCGACGCCGGGGGTATTGCATATGAATAGAGAGGGGACTCAAATTTGGGTCAAAGTTATACAAAGGAATATAAATTTTAAGGATATATCAATATTTTATTTTTCTCAATAAAAGCAAGGCCATGATTAGTCATATAAATTCAGAAGCATCTTCAGGTAGTGTATATTCAAGTGTGTTCAAATCATATCATAGGGCAAGGTAGGCCACAAAATAAGGTCAAACACATAGAAAAAATTCTTGAAAAATCTACATGTACTTAAGCCATGATTAGTCAAAGAAATATGGGAGTATCCTCAGGTACTGATTGATTCAAGTTTGTTAAAATCGTCCCCCCTTTGACCACTTTTATAGTTAAACTTCAACCTTCAATACTGAACTGATTTCTGCTTTGTCCTAGCCAAAGTGCTCAAGTGAGCGATATGACCCATAGGCCTCTTGTTTAACAAACATGTTGTTCGTCAGTTCATTTACTGATTTATTAAAATATTAAAATGGTTAAAATTTGTTTCTGTTGCACCGACAGCGAAAGCATTTCTTCCAACCTACTGACACTTTCATACATTTCCATTAAATGTTACCTCAATACCTTATAGCTGTGTACTAAAAGTGATGTGTTACTTTTTTATCGTAACCGTTTTATAAGCAGACTGAAATATAACAATCCGACAGGTGTCCAACGTGCGTAACTTTGGAAAGTCTGTCCATTTGAGGTCAGCAGACGAAGTCGTCTTTTTTGACTTGACAATTTAACTACGAATAATTTCGTACAGACAATTCCTGTAGATCACACGCCAATTACGCCCAACTTCTTTGATCCCCAGTTTTGGCCCCATCCAAACTCCATGGTCAAAAATAAAAAATTAATATTTGCATATGAGCATGACTTAATATGGTTACTCCTGAAAACACTTTTTACATTTCTTATACATTTTATATAACACTTTGATCCCGTGTTCTGATCCGTAACTCTAACTTGTTTATCATATGTATATGCTATAATTTTAGCTTACATTGTCCTTCAACGAAGCTTATGTTTTTGGAGCAGGTTTCATTCCCCAGTAACTACAAACCCTACCTAGACTAAACTTCCATGGTTTTAATCTTCTAGGGATGAACACTACCAGGCTTGCTTTGGATGCTAGATCTGACCTATAGTTTCTGATGACTGACAAGGTTAAAGCTTTTGAAGTAGGTTAATTCCCAAATAAATATAAGCCTTATGGATGATGCATCTATGGAGCACACTAATATATTTATTTTGGATGCTGGATCTGACCAACTTTTTCGGGATATAAGTGATATATCTAAAGTTTTTGGGGCAGGTCTATTCCAAAGAAACTACAAGTCCCTTAATGACTTAACTTCCATGGATAATATATTTCTAGCAATACACATACCACACTTGTTTTGGATGCTGTATCTGATCCACATTTTTACATAATAACTTAGGATAAAGATTTAGGGACAGGTCCATTTCTAAGTAACGTTAAGTTCTATCTAGCTATAGACAAACTTGC